TGGAGTTTGCAGATGACACTGCCGCCATAGCCACCCAACAAGAGGCCCCTCAGGCGGATCGTATCCTGGAACAAACATTCAATGACTGGGGCGAAAAACTCAACCGTGACAAAACAGAAACACTCACTCTGAAGCCACAAACCAGAACAACGCAAACAGGCGCCCGCGGATTTCCACTCGGTGCGTCACGTTGGCGGCATCGTCAACAACTCGGGTACCCAATGGGCAGATACTATCCGCTGATGCGTCAAGGGCAAGCAACGAGGTCTTTTGAGGTGGTTTCTTCTTTGTTGATTTGATCCCCTTTTCGCTGACTGTGTTGTGTTTCGTGTTGTCCTTGTTTGTTTGTAATTCCTTTCTTTACTTTCAATGTTCAAATTTGAGTGGTTTTATATGTTTGTTGTTAGGTTGAAGTGTGCGAAGACCGACACGATGACATATCTAAGTGGAGGATGCTTGGATGGGTCCTTCACAGTGATGTGTCCTCTCCGCTCGGTCAATGTGTAGTCTATGTATGAGTGAGTTTTCCATTGTAACCTGGGACTATAGGCCGAATGGCCGAACAACGTCCTCTTCCAGGCTTTTCCCCTCCAAAGACGGACTCCCACCTCAGCGTGGTGGAGGGGTGGCAACTTCTCAATTAGCATGTTGTCTTTTTGTTGTTGGGACACTTTGGGTTTGGAGAAGGCTAACGGGGGCCGCGGGCGTGAATGCTGAACTGGGAAACGGGGGCGCCCTCGGGCGCCAATCCTAGGTAGGCTTCATGCCAACAGCAAGTTCGGGTTGGCAGCCCGTTCTTGCTTTTTTCTGTTGCTACCACACAGGAAACAGAAGTTCGAACACAGTTGTGAATTCCGGACAGGGAATGAGCAAGCAGACAACTTACCGACAGGGGCACATGCTACAGTGGGGATGTTGGAATGTTAGAACTTTACACTCACAACTCAAGGTGACTACTATGGGGCAAGTGGAAGTTGAAGGGAAAGACCCAATGAAAATCGTGGACCTTTGCAGGGGCGTGGTATTAGTCTGTGTGCAATATCTGAACATAGATGGAAACAAGGGGGGACCTTTTGGGTAAGTCCTGATTGGTTGTTTGTCTTTTCTGGTGTTGGTGCAGGGGCCGCAAAGGCGGAGCAGGGGGTGGGATTTTTGTTAAACAAAGACATGGCTGCGGCCTGGAGGGCAGCGGGTAGTTTGTGTGAGTTTGGGGAGGGAAGGCGGCTACGTATCAGGCTTAAACTGCATGGACGATACTTCTCTCTGATATCATGTTATGCTCCTACATTTCAGTGCTCGGATCACGACAAGGAGGCCTTCTACGACGGGCTGGGGGAGATGTTGGATGCAGTGCCTAGCAGGGATGAGTTGATTATAATGGGGGACTTCAATGCCCGGGTGGGGCACAGAAGCGGGGGAGGCGGGTTTTGTAAGGGAGGCGGTTGGGGTATGCGGGCTTCCTGAGCGAAATGACAACGGGGTGAGGCTGCTGGATTTTCTGGCGGGAAGAAAAAGTGTTGACGTGCGAGTTGCCAGCACCTGCTTTCAACACAAAGAGTATGGCACGTGGTATCATCCCTCCTCGAGAAAATGGTTTCAAATCGATCATGTACTGTGTAGCAAGCGGGCTATGTACATGACACGGACCACAGATGTGTCAAGCTTAAGATTAAGGTTCCGCGTAAGGCGATGCTGGGCAAGTACTTTGGGGGTAAGAATAGAAGTCCCCAGCTGGGAAGGCTGCCAAGGTTGCAAGTCTGGGCACTAAAGGATGCAGATGTGAAGGAAGACTTTAACTTACAACTACATGATCTAATGTCTGAGGGGTTTTTCGACGAGGGTTACCCGTTGTTTGGGCATGCAATGCGGGTGGTGGGGGCTAAGAAGGTTGGTACAGTGGAGGGAAGTGCGCTGCCGGAATGGAAACAAGTCAACCAGGATCGGCTGGCGGAGCTAAGTGTGTTAAAAAAGAGGACAGCGCAAAAAGCGCCGCAGGGAGTGAGGTCGGCGGAGTTCAAACGGGTTGCTGCAGCGGCAAAAAAGGAGGTAAGGCAGATGATTAACAAATGGTGGCGGGAGAAGGCGGCACGCATTCAGGAGCGAGTGGATGCCAAGGACGTTTGCGGGCTATAGGGAGCTGCGCAGGGTACTTGCGCATGGGCGAAAACAGCCAGACAAACTTAGGGATGAGAAGGGAAACTTACTGCACACAAGGACTGGGGGAATTAAGCGCTGGTGGGAGTATTTCAAGGACCTGTGAAACGCGCCTGCCCAAGTGGAGGAAAGTCAAGTTGGATAGAGTCTCTGAAATTGTACCACAGAGATGGTTGGATGAGTTGCCTAGCTTTGCTGAAACTGTTGCAGCGGTAGACCGTTTAAAGACAGGCAAGGCGCCGGGACCGGACGGGCTTGAGGCGGAGCTCTTACTTTCACTAGATGGGCCCAATTTGAGGACTCTCCATGAAATGTTCTGCAGGGTGTGGGAGGGGCTGGAACCGATTCCGGAGGATTGGAAGTTCTCGTTTTTAGTACCGGTACCCAAAAAGGGCGATCTCACACAGTGCAAACGATGGAGAGGGATTCTGTTGTCTTCGATACCGGGCAAGGTCTTTGCACGTATTTTAAATGCTAGACTTACCTCACATGTGGAGGATATGAACATCTTGCCTGAATCACAATGTGGCTTCAGAGCGGGGCGTGGAACTCTCGATATGATTTGTGCATTGAAAATAGCCATGGAAATTGCGGATTATAAGAGACACCCCTTTCATGTTTTATTCGTGGATTTAGTTAAAGCCTATGACTCGGTGTCCAGAACTGGATTGTGGGAAATTCTGCGAAAAAAGGGAGTGCCATGGAAGATGAGGAGTCTGATTCGTGACTACTACACAGGCAAGACTGCAAAGGTGGCGGTGGAGGGAGGCCTGTCGCAGGAATTCCACCTGGAGACTGGATTGGGGCAGGGGTGCTGTCTGGCACCCTTGCTGTTTAACATTTTTCTTGCAGCGGTGATGGAAGCCTGGCAGGAAAACTCTGGTGGTGGAGTCAGCTGGCTTACCAGAATTGATGGGGCCCTTCTACATAGAGAAGTGTTGGATAAGTATACCATCTGGGAAGATTTAAAATTGGAAGAATTGGGGTACGCAGATGATGCGGCACTCATTGCGGATACTCTGGAGGCACTGAGAAACAGAGCAGTAGAGTTCAGGCTCACTGTGGTAAGTGGGGGTTAACTCTTTCGGTGGAAAAAACTGAGGCCTTGACCACGGCACGGGGGCCACAAGAGCCCATCCAAGTCCAGGAGTATGATGGGTTTGATGCTATTAAGTTTGTGGATACGTTTGAATACCTGGGGATCTTGTTTGACACTGCGCGGGTGGGTGATAAGGCCGTACGGGCACGTATTGAAAAGGCCCGAAAGGCATTTTGGTCGCTGGCAAACAGCGTCTGGAATGTTCGGCAAATTTCAATTGCCACAAACATAAAGGTTTACAGGGCGTGCGTGGTGTCTGTGCTTCTTTATGGGGCTGAAGTCTGGACTCCGTCGTTTGCGGCAAGAGGAGCGTTGGAAAAGTTTCAAATGATGTGCTTGCGAAAAATCTCGGGTTTTGGGGCAAGGCTTCAAAGGGAACACTCGATCTCCAATGATAAAGTCAGGGCCTGGCTGGGGGTACCTAAAGTTGCTGACCAGGTGAGGCAGGTACGGCTACGGTGGCTGGGTCATGTGGGCCGTATGCCTAACTTCCGATTGCCAAAGAGAGTACTATTTGGAGTATTGCCTGATGGGGTGGGCGCCCCCAGAAGACCAGGTTTACAGGCGGGTATCAGACTCAGGGACGCTTTTGCAAAAGACCTAGAGGTGGCTGGTATTGGTAGACAGGGCTGGCTCCAGTTCTGTAACTCGGAAAAAGGTCATCATTTATGGCGACAAAAAACTAAGGAATGTGCTGTGTGGTTTAAGCCCTTTCCGGTATGTGCGCAACAGGAATTGCCAGACAGGAGCAAGGAACGGAGTCAAATTCGGGCTGGGGAGGTCAAACGGAAGCTTAGTATTAAGGACACATAGGAAAAAGCGGAAAAACAGATCAAAACATCACTAGCTCCGAAGTCTGCTTTTCTGCAAATTGAGACTGAGATTGGTGGCAGGGAACCCCTGATTGCTCGGCTGAAGGAGGTACTGACATCTATTGGAGACTACTGGGAATATGACACCTTTGAGTCGCTGTGTGCGGATGTGTTAAAAGAATGGATCGGGAGACTGGACACGGTTGCAGATTTGGCACTCTTCCGTCTCGTGTTAAGGACGACAGTTAAGAGGGAATCGACTGCTAACGATCTAACAGATAACCGGGATCGAACGGGTGTGACTCCTCGCAGGATTAGGCGCAAACAAAAACCTCCAGCTTGGCATGTGATGCAGACTGAACAGGCTGCAGCATTAATGGAAAGCCCGTTACGTGTGCGCACGAAGTATTGGGACCAAAACAGGACAAAGGGGGTGGAGGATGGTTTATTCAAGTGCAACTTTCCGGGATGTACTTGCAGTTATACCACCAAAATGGGGCTGGCGACACACAAGCGCGTTACCCACAAAGAAGGAACCTTCAGACTGGCTGGTTTTAATTGCCCGCACTGTGTGCGTAGCTTTGGCATGGAAGCAAGGCATACCAGACACAAAAAATATGCACACGGGGTGTGTCGCAGACCGCACATTTGCCCTTTCTGTAATGGATACTGGCCGGGCGAGTCTTCTCTACGTTTGCGCATCGCGGCGGACCACAGGTTTGAACCAACAGACTTCCCGATGCCATGCCCCGTCTGTGTACAACAAGGTTTGGATGGGGGGATGTTTAGAAGTGTGCATCATTTCAAGTACCACATCAAACAAGCTCACAAATGGTAGACGTATGGCTCTGCGGAACCAGACATGGAATATCCTGCAGGCATCTTTGTTCAAGCTGCAAATAGCAACGTAGACAACGTCAAACGTTTCTGGGAGTATGTCAGATGTGGAAGCACGACTGGCGGCTGTGGAAGACCATCTTGGGTCTGTATCCAAGTTGGCAGCGGCGACAGCCAAGGGGCAAGGGAAGGAGCGGACGGGCCGCCTGGTGGTTGTGTTCTCAACGGGAGGGTTCAAAGAGCGGGTGTTGGAAATCCTGCGCCAGTGGGACGCAGGGGCGGCGGCTTTTAAAAATGCTGAGGGCGGTGAGGGTGGCGAGGGAGGGCGTGGTTCGGCGGCAAGCTCTGGTGCGGGCGAAGGGCGTCCACCTCCACTCAAATACCAACTTTACCAAGCGATGGTCGAACAGCTGGCCACACAGGGTCTGGGGGAGCCGGTGCTCACTACACTCAGGGCCACGCCTGGGTCGGCAATCGAGTCCACGACGGCAAAACTGCCGGAAAGCATCGGGGATGGAGCCTTCATTTTTACCCTCCTTTTCCAACCGAACCTCGAAGGACTGGCTGCTAGAGCAGCGCTCCAAAGCACCACTGCCAAGCAAGCTGTGCAGAAAAAAGGAAGTATCTGGCCTGAGTGTGGCATTAAGCCTGCCAGGTTCGCCCCCGGAAAGTATCACCGAGAGGTTCTTCAGTTTCAAGGATACTCGGAGGAGGACCAAGTGGGGTACTTCAAAGGAAAGAAAGGAGGTAAGGGTGGGGGCCGGGATGGGAGGAATGCCGCGCCTGGGAAGCGAGCAGCCTCGCATCGTCTGTCCGTTTCCGCCCCGGGGGATGCCAAGCGCCGCTAAAGCTGGGCCCTTTAACTGCAATTGGAGCTGTTTGTGGTGAAGTGTTTGGGGAGTTTAAAGTGGGTATGGGAGCTGTGGAGGGGATCTTCCAGTGGGGGCTTGATGATGATTCAGTGTCGGTACCGTCCGACCTGACTTACAGTCGGTACCGCCCGACTGGGATATAAGTCGGTACCGTCCGGCTTGTCCATTTGCTACTTTTATTTCTGTTTGGGTTGGGGTCCTTGTGGGATGAGCGGGGTGAAGTGGTTCACTGGGGTCCCCCTTGGGGTGAATTCGGAGGTAGGATGGCTTTGGTCTTTTTGGTCCTCTTGTTGGTTCTTGGGGTGTGTGGGTGCTGGGGTTTGCCCTTGCCTCCTTGCTGTGGTCCCGAGTTTTTGGGGTTTGTTGTGTGAGTGTGTGTGTGGGTTGTTTGGTAGCATGGTCTCTGTCCGCTGAACAGTTTTGGTCGGTCGGAGTTGATATGTAGTGGGGTGGGGTGCTTGGACGGGCCTTGCCCTACTTTCAGTTTTGACAAAGACCGACACAGTCTTGGGTTTACACAGTTTTGTATTTTTCTGGGATGATAGGCTTGACGGCCTGGCCCATGGGGCTACATCCTCTTCCAGGCTTGCGATGACAGGGATCATGTGCTTGGATCTAGAGCGCTCTCGTGTCCATATTGTAAAGCTGTGTTTCCTGGGCACCCAATGATGCGTTTACATATTGCAGAGAGTCATCAGATAGACGAAACAGGTTTCCCCATGCCGTGTCCTCTATGTGTCGATGCTGGCGCTGAAAACCCCCCCAATATGGTCAGTGCAATAGCCTTTAAAACCGCGCAGCCACACATTTACGCGATGTTCCGATCGCCGTTTTTGAGTCGTAGCCGTAGCTGCTTGCCTCTTGTTTGCGTTGTGGGTGGTCTCTGCGGGTTTCTATGGCGCCGGGTGAGCGACGTGACAGGGATCGTGATAGGGGCCGGGATCGCGACCGTGACCGTGATGATCGTACAACAGCGTCCACAGACCTGACGGCGCTCCAGAATGACCTTGCAAAGACCAACCAGCGTTTGGAGAAGGTTGCCAAGCTTTCCGTCTACACTGCTCGTGATGTCGGTGAAATGAAGAGCCACCTCCAGATAGTCTTGTTCGTGCAGGGACTGGCCAGGGAGGTCTTGGCCGGGGTGCTCAGGGACTACGTCGATGCTCGTGATAAGGTCCAGTCGGGCGTGGTGGAGAAGGGCCAAGGCTGGAACGTACCGTGTGGGGCAAATCACACAGGAGGTGGCATCAGAGGCAGGGATGGACTACGGGAAAGGGCGTGGAAAGGGAAAGGGGGTCAAAAGGCTGAGAGCCCGTCCAAAGCCAGATCTGCTCGGCTGCGTCACTAGATTCTCACCCGCTGCCGGTCTTGTCCGGGGCCAGGGCAGCGGTCTCGTCCGCTTGCCATTTTTTGAAAGGCACAGGTCTCGTCCTGTGGCCAAGAAGCTTAGACGCCTAACATCGAGCCAAAAGATTTGGGGTTTTTCATTGGGATTGGGTTTCGTCGTTGGGCTTCTCGTGGGTGGGCTGTCGGGGGATCCTCTCTTTCCGTTCTGACGGATCGCTTCTTAATGCCAGGTCTTTCGGATGAGGTCTTGGATTTTGGTTTGGCTTGTTCTTCTCTTCCTCTTTTGGTCAGGCTGTTTTGTGTTTGCGTTGGCTGATCTCGGCTGCGGTTATTCCTTGCGGACATTTATCGGACAAAGTGTTGTGATTCCTAAGTGTTGATGTGTCTCTCCATGTGTGTGCCCTCTGGATATCATACTGCGATATGTGCGTTGGACATGTCACGGGATGCTCTTTTTTTAATTATTTTGGTTATTTTGTTTTTTGTTTTCGATTATCTCCGATTATTGGTGAACGAATTCTCGCAGGCAGTCATTTCGAGTGAGATGATGGATCCCACTCTTTCCGCTTTCCTGCGGTCCGCGAGGAGTTTACTTCCTACCCGTGACAGTTTTAATCAAGCAGAGACGCCTGCCCGAGCGCCGATGCTCCCTCTGCATGGAAAGTCTGAGGTTTCCTGGTTTCTCTGCAGGCTATATGCCCTACGCGCTTATGCCGCCCCCCCCGGCACGCGTTCCGAGTTTATTTTCTGATCTTCTTCCTGTCGCCCTATGGTTCGTTGTTTGGTTGTAGCAGTTCTGTGACTTTGTTGAGTTGGTGTGTGTTACGCTGAAGTTTTGACCTTCCCTCGCTAGTATTTGCTTGTGCTTGAGTACTGGATGGCTGTGGTACTCTTGCATTTTGCATGTGCTCTGAGCGAGTTGTAGTATGTCAGTGTGTTTTCTCTTGAGTTTGACTGACAGTTTTTTCATGCGGAGTCAAAGCGGCCGACAGGCTGCAGCAATGACTTCTTCACGGCTTGCGATGACCCGGGGCAAAATCCGACCTCCACCTCATCGCGGTGCCCCGGTGTTCCCGGCCTTATTTGAGTTAGTTCTTCTGTGTGTCTCTTGTCTGCAATTTTGGGCCGGCTAACGGAGGCGGTAAGGGGGGGGGTCTCCCTAGGGGTCCTGGGGCCTACTTCGGTAGGCAAGCCCCGTCTGGGGGCTCCCCCCGACGGGGGGTATGGCCTAGCAAGCCATGCCCCTCTTTTCTCTTGCTACCACACAGAACAAAGATAGTCGACCTGATCTGCCGACCACGGCCCGACCACCAGTGAAGCATGGACAGATGCTGACTGAGCGTCGTGGTTGGCGGGCTAGATGTACCTGCTTGCAATTTGCTTGTTGGAAAGTTAGAACTCTACAGGTGAACTTAGAATCATGTCAGATGGAGCCCTTTCTCTAGAAGGTAAAGAACCCCAAAAACTCGAGGAACTTTGCAATGAGTTGGCAAGGCACAACATAGGCCTAGCTGCCATATCTGAGCACCGATGGAAAGGAGAAGGTGTGTACCAAGTCAATGCTGAGTGGAAGTTTATCTATTCTGGTCTCCCTCTCGAAGCTCCTAAAGCGCAGTCTGGTGCGGGATTTTTGCTACACGCGTCCTTATTTGCAGCTTGGAGAGCTGCTGGGGAATTCTGTGAGTTTGGTGGAGCACGTTTGTTGAAGCTGCGTCTCAAAATTGCTGGAAGACTGTTTTCTGTCATCTCGGTGTATGCGCCCACGTTTCAATGTTCAGATGTTGAAAAAGAAGGATTCTACGACAATCTGGGTGCCATGCTTAAGTCTACAAACTCCCGGGATGAGCTTGTCGTTATGGGAGATTTTAATGCAAGGGTGGGAATACAGGATCTGGCTGAGTCTGAGCAAAGTGGGATCCAACTACGAGATCCTGTCGGGAGGTTTGGCCTTCCCGAGGTGAATGACAATGGTGGGCTCTTGCTGGAGTTTTGTGCATCTCAGCACAAGCACAACTTGCGTATCATGAGCACATGTTTTCAACACAAACATTATGGTACCTGGTACCACCCCTCATCTAGGAAGTGGTTTCAAATTGATCATGTTATCTGCAGTAGGAGAACTGGAGGTTTGGTTCAGGACGTCCAAGTCATGCCGGGTTATGCGCATGAAACTGATCATCGCTGTGTTAAACTGAAGCTTCGTATTCCTGCCAAAAAGTGCCTCGGTCGTTTCTACGGCAGACATCATAATCAAGGTCGAGATATGCGACCGGTCCCGCTCAATGTGAGTCGGTTAACGGATCCTTCGGTCCAGGAGGCTTACAAAGGCCCTTTGCATGAGTTGGCATCAGATGGTCTTTTCGACGAGGGGTACGAGTTGTTCGGGTATGCTTTGCGAAAAGTTGGAGAGGCCAAAGTAGGTATGGTAGTACCCGGAAAGTCTGCTCCATGGAAGGAGGCTAATCAAGAAAAGTTGGCGGAGCTGAGCGATTTGAAACGCCAGGCCCGCAATCCGCGCAATCCGCATGATGCTAACTACAAAAGTATGTGTAAGAAAGTTAAAACTGAAACGCGGAAAATGCTCAATCAATGGTGGTCAAGTAAGGCTCGCTCCATTCAGGACCAGGTAGATGCTAAAGACCACAATCACCAATTTGCTGGCTATAGGGAGTTGCGTACCTTGTTGGTCAAACCGAAAGGAGTGTCTCCCCGGCTCAAAGATCACCAAGTCGGCTCGGGTCAAGCGTTGGGCAGAGTACTTTTCTGACTTGCTTAATGTACCTGCGACGGTGCAGCAGACGGAGCTGGATGGAGTTTCAGTCAAACTTCCGGCAGGTGAACTGGACAAGGTTCCTTCGTTCGCTGAAACTGTTGCGGCGGTGAATAAGTTAAAACAAGGCAAGGCTGCGGGTCCCGACGGGGTTCCGCCAGAAGTCATTCAGGCTCTTGACGCAACCAATCTACGGATCCTGCATGAGATGTTTGCTCGGGTGTGGAAAGGAATCGATGTCATGCCGCTGGAATGGAGAGAGGCTTTTTTGGTGCCATTGCCCAAGAAAGGGGATTTACAATTATGCAAAAATTGGAGGGGCGTCTTACTCGCCTCGGTACCGGGCAAGGTTTTTTCTCGCATGATCAATGGCAGGCTTCAGGTATATTGTGAAAACCACCGGATCCTCCCAGAATCACAATGCGGCTTTAGATCAGGTCGCGGAGTCATGGACATGGTATTTACGTTAAAAATGGCAATGGAAGTGGCTGCCTGCAAACGACACCCATTTCATGTCCTTTTCGTGGATCTAGTCAAGGCATATGATTCTGTGTCCAGGGTGGGGCTCTGGGAAATACTACAAAAGAAAGGGGTTCCCCCTAAAATGCTTTCCCTCATCCGTTCTTATTATGCAGACAAAAAGGCGCAGGTCTCGGTAGAGGGGGTGTTATCCTCGGTCTTCGACTTATCCACGGGGCTGGGGCAGGACTGCTGTTTGGCTCCCCTTCTTTTCAATATCTTTTTGTCTGCAGTTATGGAAGCATGGCAGCGCAAGTCTGGAGGAGGGGTTAAGTGGTTAACAAAAATCGATGGTATGTTAGGGCACAGGGAAGCAATGGACAAGTACTCATCATGGATT